AACTGCTGCTCTATGGAAACTTAGGGCCGTGTCTGCCCCATGTGAGAATTCTGAATCTCCTTGAAATGACTTCTTGCCTTCACAGGCTAATTTTCCTTCTCTGTGGGTAGCCGGTTCTTTCTCCAGGTCTAGCTAGGATACTTTCTGTCCTTGGGGAAGTACCTCTTCTTTCTAGTTTCTTCTCCTCTCAGTTCCCTTCCAGTCAGTGCTGTTTCCACTCACGCAGAGTGAAGCAGGGAGAGTTGGCCCTGGGCTTTCTGGGGCAGGCCAGGGACTGGAAGGAGAGGAGTTTACTAGAAAGTCTGTTCTTGGGGGAAATCCCTGCTGACTGAGTGTCCCAGGGAGCACTGGGCTTTTGATTGGTGTAGCATTTTAGGAGCCTGTGTCGAAATAAAATACAGGTAAATGCTAAATGCAGAGCAAAGAGCCTCACCTTGTGGAACAGCTGCCTAGATGATCCCTTGGCTGGGAGGTGGGGTTATTTTCTGCTGGTAGTTCTAGAAGGGATGTGGGAAGAGGAAGAGAAGACGGTTAGTGTGGGTTAGAAATCAAGAGGTGAACAGCTGTGTGCCCGTTGCTGATTTCTCTGACAATCTCATTAATCTCTACCTCGGCCTCTCCGACAGGATTTCCTGCGATTATGGAGATGTTCATTTGTCCACTATTGCAGCCACTGTCACCTGCAGCTAGTAGGTACTTGAAATGTGGCTACCATGACTGAAGAACAAAATGTTCTATATTATTAGTGTAAATTTAAGTAGCCACATGTGGCTAATGGCTACCTCGTTGGACAGCATGGCTCCAGGTCACCATGACCTGAGGATTCTGGACCTTGGTTTGGTTCTTCGAAGACTCAGGAATCCACCTCTGTTGAGTTAGACCAAGGATAACTCTGGGGTTTATAAATGGACAATCAGATTCCCTAAAACCTTGGCGCAAGTAGAGCTGGTACCATTAATTAATTGTTTGATTAACCAGTTACTGATTTAATTAATGATTAATAATTGAGCACCTACAATAGGGCAGATACAATGTTTAAAAATGGGGATGTTCCAGATGATGGAATATGATTCAGCACTAAAGAGAAATGAGTCATCAAGCCGTGAAAAAATATGGAAGGAACTTAAATGCATGTTACTATGTGAAGGAAGCCAATCTGAAAAGGCTGCATACTATATGATTCCAATTCCATGACATTCTGGAAAAGGCAAAACTGTGGAGACAGTAGTGGTTGGCAGGGGGTGTGGGGAGGAGGATGAACAGCAGGGCACACTTTTAGGGCAGTGAGCATACTTTGTAAGGTGCTATAATGGTGGACACATCATGGCATTATCCATTTTTCCAAACACACAGAATGTACAACACTAAGAGTGACCCTAGTGTAAAGTGCAGACTCTGGTGACTATGGCGTGTCAATGTGGGTTCATCAGCTGTGATAAGTGGATCTGTGTGTGAGGTTTTGATATCAGGGAGGCTGCGTGCATGTGGGCAGGGGGCGTGTGGGAAATCTCTGCACCTTCTACTCAGTTGGCTGTGAACCTAAAAGTGCTCTGAGAAATAAAATCTATTAATCAAGAAAATGGGATGTTGAAGTGACCAAAACCAACAGGAATCCCGCCCTAAACAGGCTTAGGGTCCGGCAGGGAAGACGAACCCTGAATAGGCACAGTGTGAACTGAAGCGTGTTAGGAGAGAGGCCTTGGCTCCGTCTGTAGGAAGGAGTGTTACTGGGGAGATGTTGGGGGGGGGGTACAGTCATTCCATCACATTCTGTCTTAGCAGGGACACCTCCAGTCCCATGGTCCCGGAACTCTGATGCGACTTTTCTGGACCTTTTCTTGGCACTTTCCTTCTCATTAGAATCTCCGGTGCCTCACCATGGTGGCCGAACTCATGAGGATGGTGAACCCTGTTTCACCTTCAAGAAAGGCTTCTGAGGAAGAGGAGGGAAAAGGAGAGTTGGGGAGAGAGGACGAGAGCTCGCAGGGGCGAGGTGGCAGAGTGGTGGGCTCAGGGCAGCTGTGGACAGGCTCCCCAAGGGACAGGATGCTGTCATGGGCCCAAGCCCAGCCTGGGAGCAGGAGCCAAGGCTGCAGCCTGAGTCTGTCCCTGTGGCTCTGCCCAGGGCGCCTTGACTGTCCCTGGGCTTGGTGGCCCACGCTGGGGTAGGTATCCAGGGAGCATGACCAGTGTGCTCACAGCCCAGGGGCCACAGGGACACTTGAGCTGCCTGGCTCAGCTCCGCAGCCCCCGCTGTCCCTTCAGGCCCTCAGACCCCAGGCGGAGGGCGGGTGGATTCCCCGGAGGGAGGGAGTGGACCTGGGTCTGGGGCTTCTCCACTCCGGCTGCGCTTGACAAGTACTTGGGGAGGTTTTGAAAAGTATGGGTACCCCCAACCCACCACTTAAATTAGAAGGCCTTGACATTTTTAAAAAGCTCACTTGCTGGCCAGCACGTTCTCGCGGGGGCCTTGGGCGATGGATGGGGAGGCTCAGGAATGCTCCCTGAGAACCTTCTGGCTGGCCGCCCTGTCAGCAGGAACCTGCTTTCTGCTGGGAAAATCCCAGTAGAGCTGTGGGACTGGACAAGCCGTGTGTCTTCCGGCCCAAGCCCTGCACTGAACCCCAGGGCCACCTAGTGGCACCCACAGCCACCTCTGGTCACCGTGGTGCACGGAGATGTCCCTTCGTGAGCTTTCCCACAGCTGGAAGTGGCCACCTGATCCTTTCCAGCTGTCACTGCCCACCAGGAAGGCCTCTTCCCCACTAGAGTTGAAAACGTGTCGGGAACACCGTCCACCTGAGCCCTGCGGACGGGACTGTCGCCGAGCGGGTGGGGCCGGGGCAGCCAGAGCTCCAGCGACCTTCCCTAAGCTGGGCGCGGGCTCCACGGCAGCAGCCGCCTTTAAAGAAAAGAACCGAGTGTGTTGGCAGAGCAAGGCCTTCCTCACAGCCCGGCCACGCGAACGGCCGGCTGGGGTCTTTCCTGTGCCAGGGCACACGAGCCCGCGTTTGCTTCCTGGTCCCCGGCTCGGCCTCACCCGAGACGGTTCCCCACAGGCCGTCCACTGGCAGATGAACAAAACCCAGCCAAGACCAAACACATTTTTGCATTCAGGCTTAAATGCTCAGAGGAACAGTTTTTCTGAGATTACACATTTTTCTAGCATTATGCTCTACATGAGTATGCAAAACAATGGAGTGGCATTATTCTCTTTTTGGCATTTTCGTGGACCACACAGAGGATTCTTCTGGGAGGTGGGGTGGGGGGACCCGGGGCCGGTGTGTGCCTGGGTGAGAGAGGTGCTGGGGTGTGAGTTTGCCAGGTGGGGGGCCGACTGCCTTCTTGCCCAGCCTTTAGAGCCTTCTGGAACATCTCTGGGCAGGGCCACTTCCCCAAATCCGGGGCAGTTGCCAGAGAGGACCGCTGCCTCCGCGTGCTGGGAGGGCCGTGTGGGTTCCAATCCCAGCCCTGCCACTTCCTGTCGGTTTGAACTTGGACAAGTCACTCAGCCCCTGTGAGTCTCTATTTTCTCACTTGCGAAGGGGAAGATATAAATAGTGGGGCCTCGACAGGGGTGGGAATGAGAGAGTGAAGGGCCTGAAGAGAGGCCTTGGCACCCCTCCATCACCCCTAGCTGCCCTTTTTCATTTACTTATTGGGCTTTCTCTTCAGTTTTCCTTGCAAAAGGCCTCCCCTTGGGGCTACCAAACCCATTAAATCTGAACCTTTGAGGGTGAGACCCGGGCATGGGATTTTTTCACATTCCCTGGGTGACTGTCACCCAGGGGGAGAAGTGCTGCCCTGAAAGACCACAGCGAACAGGGACCGCAGTGAACAGGGACCGCAGTGAACAGGGACCGCAGTGAACAGGGACCGCAGAAGGAGGCTGCAGGTCTCTTGGGATGACACCTCGCCTGCCCACAGAAGGGATCCTGACACCCTGGATTTAACTGTCATGGATTTGATCATCAAAAACGTCAGAGGTTCATCGTGTTTAGTGATTTGCAGCTTGCTGGGCTGGAGCTGCTGGGCCGGCTGAGCCCTCCCTGCAGCTGGTGGTCCCAGCTCCCCCTGAGCGGCACACGCAGCCCCGAGGAAGTGACTCAAAGCCTGTTTCTTTCTGGGAGTTGGTCCCCAAACAAGGCCAGCTGCTAGCGCTGGTGTAAGAAACCAGAGAAAGTGAAGAGGTTCAAGGGTGCGGTGGTTCCAAGCCAGAAGATGGAATTTGGGGTAAATCAAGGAGGACCCATCCTGTGTGGCCGTAGCTTTCGTCTGTGCTATGAGCCAGGGCACCTGCGGAGCTCAGCACCTGGCTCTGTCCCTCTCGAGCACCCGGGGTACTGGGCTGTCGCTGTCTGCCGTAGCGCAGGCGCAGCCTCGCTGGTCCCTCTGTGCCATCCCAGCGCGGCAGCGAACACGCACTTTGCACAGTTCTGCTTGCCGATGCCTGTCATCGGCAGCATGGACCAGGGCGTCTTTGTAAAAAGGTCTGAACGTGGATAGTGTGGGGTGCCGCGTCCAGAGGCTCATGGTCCACTGCCTTTGCTAGCATCAGGGAAGGCGCAGAGGAGGATACAGGGATATCATGGGAGACAAGGGTGCGAGGGGACTTTCTTTAAAACACGAAGCAAAACAACTCTGAGTTACACCTGAAAAGATCCCCACAAAGCTGTGAATTGTAGAACAGAGGTTTGCTGGTGAAACAAAAACTCAGTTTGGGGGCTGCAAAGTGTCCACATCAATCTCTGCAACTGTGGGTGGAGATCATCTCAGTTGTCCCCTCCCCTGCTGTGGAGGGCGTGGGGGGGCAGGTGGGGAGATGCAGGGAGCCCCTGAACCCCGGAGCCAGAGCCGGATGGAGGAAACTGGCGACCCCTCCAGGTCACCCCGGAGAGCGCGGGCAGGCCCTGTGTGCCCTGGGCCCTCATTATTTGGGTCCAACCCCGGGAGGTGCTGGGAGCAGCAGCTAATAGAGATGCCTTCCCTTCCACCCACAGGTACCGAGTGAACTTCAGACCCAGGTACGTCACTCGGTACAAGACGGTGACCCAGCTGGAATGGAGGTGCTGCCCTGGCTTTAGAGGGGCAGACTGCCAAGAAGGTCCCAGAGACCCCGTGAGGACCCCCCGCCCCACGCCCGCTCGGCCGCGAAACAGCATGAAGAAAGCCACAGGTAACTTACTTGAGCTCTGCTGATACTCGTGGCCACCTTTAACATTCCCAGCGCTCCTTCAACAGTGGGGTTTATGGTTTACAATGGTGGGCTTTCCAGGTTCTTCAAATAACACACATAGACACCTGCAGTAGATGAATGTGGCGGACAGATTTATTTGCAGGAGCAGAAGTGATCGGTAGACAAACTTTCTTGCAAGTCAGTTGTTTTGTTAGGGCCAGTGCCTTCAAAATCTAAGAATGAAATGCTGAGGGGTTCAGCCTTGTGTAACTTGGGGGCACAGATACAAAGGGATTCAAATGTAATGATGCTCTGGTTTTTACTTAGCCCCATAAATCTGAATTTCAAGGAATTACAATTGTTTTATGTTAAAATAGATAAATAGAATCATTGTCATTCTGTTCAGGATGAGATATTTGCAAAGCTAACCCCCAAGTTAGAATTTCCCCTGTAGTTCACCTTTGCTTTTAGGTGTATGAGAATGACCTAATATGGATAAAAACTTTTTGGCATTTTGCTCTATGTCATCATCTTTTTGAGTTGAGTCACAATATATGCAGCCTGGGTTTTCTTACAAAATTAAGTGTTTGAGTCACCTTTATTTTTTTTTTATTTTTTTATTTTTTTTTGAGACAGAGTCTCGCTTTGTTGCCCAGGCTAGAGTGAGTGCCATGGCGTCAGCCTAGCTCACAGCAACCTCAAACTCCTGGGCTCAAGCGATCCTCCTGCCTCAGCCTCCCAAGTAGCTGGGACTACAGGCATGCGCCACCATGCTCGGCTAATTTTTTCTATATATATTAGTTGGCCAATTAATTTATTTCTATTTATAGTAGAGACGGGGTCTCGCTCAGGCTGGTTTCGAACTCCTGACCTCGAGCAATGCGCCCGCCTCGGCCTCCCAGAGTGCTAGGATTACAGGCGTGAGCCACCGCACCCGGCTAAGTCACCTTTAAATGATCACATTTTCCCATGAAGTGTGTTCAATCTTAAAGCTGATAGTGTTTCCCAACATTATCCCTAAAACAGATTTTTAGATAATTTTTAGTTAGAAAATTAATCTATATCAATTAAAGAGTGTTTCTAAAATATAGGAAAAATGTTTAAGGATGTGTAATTTCACCTCCAAATGTGAACTAATGTTAACATTTTGTTATAGAACATTCCTCTTTTCCTGCTATCTGCATATACATTTTGTTAAAGAAAAATTCATTCATTCATCCCACAAATATTTATTGAGTTTCTGTATCTGGCAGGCTCTACACTAGGGACCTGGAATAAGTAGAAACCAAGGCAGATACGATCCCCAACTCATGGAAGATAAGCATTAGACAGTCATTGCAGTAAATCATGACGGGTACTATGAAGGGGGGTGGGGCTGGTGGATCGTAATAGTTTTCGTTTTCATTTTATCAAAGCTTAAACATATATGTAATGTTGAATAGCTTTAATAAGGACTAACAGGAAAAATGATCCCCACCCCCTCCCCCACACACTTTCCCTTCCCAGAAGTGCTTTAAACTCTTCGTATGAGTCTTTTGGAACTTATCTCACATCTCCTGGCTTCTCATTGATGGAAGGTGAGGCTTAAACTCCCTTTTACCCACTCCACAATACACTTCCCTATACCCCCATCCTTTATATACAGTTAGATCATATTCTTATTTATTCAACATTCAATGTTTACATTGTAGTAATTTTGTAGATAATATTTACAGCTGAGCCATGTAGTGTACTATGAATAGGTTTTCTTTCCTACACAGCTATTTGATTCCTTAGAGTTAATAACTGTCTTATGTTTTTCCTTTGCTAGGTTTTCTATTTTGTTATCCCTATTTCAGCCTAAACTTATCTCCGGTTATTTAAATATCCCCTCATGTCCAGACACGCCAGTTTCATCTTCTTGAAGAAATCTCCCTAAACCTCACTTGCCCCGCCTGGACTGGCCATCCTCTTTTTCTTTCATCACCTGGGATTTTAACTCGCCTTTTCCTACTAGAGTCCTTGTTTCCTGTGTCTGCTGCTCACTTTGTCTGGATTTATTCTCTTATTTTTCTTGAGTACACCTTCCAGTAGTTCCAAGTGAAGATTGCAAGGAAAGTAAACTCTTTGATACTTTATAATCTGAAAATATTTTTACTCTAGCTTCAGAATTCTAGGTTGGAAATTATTTCCTTCAGATTTTTGAAAACAATTGTTCAGTTTCCCTCTAGCTTCCAATATGGCTGTTAAGAAGTCCAAAGCCATTCTGATTTCCAATTTTTTTTTATGTGTGACTTGAGTGTGTTTTGTGGTCTCCCTCCTTTCCCCCTTCCCCTATTTTAGTGGGATTTTAGGAGGGAGGGAAAGGAACGCTTATTCTCAATCTACTATCATTATAAAGAACATACTATTTTTGGAACTTTTTACTTAATCTATAATCAACAACCTTCCCTGTCATTAAATATTCTACAGTATCACTTAATGGCTTCAGAGAATGTGATTGTTTGAACTCAATTGTTGGTCACTTAGGTTGTTTGTAATTTTTTACTGTAATAGATAATATGTGAATGAGCATCTTTTCCTGTTAAATGTTGTACTCATTCCTGATTGTTTACTAGATTAAATTTCTAGAAGTGTAATTGTATCATTAAAAGGATTCTGAGTATTTTGATACATATTTCCAAATTATCTTTGGAAAAAGTTGTAGCAATTTGTACAATCACCAGTGGTATTTGAGAGAAACATTTCCTTATATTCTTGATCTCCACCCCCCCCCCCATTCTCCTGCCTTTTGTTTTCATTTCCTTTGCCCAGAATAGCATTTCAGTTACATATGATTCAATAACTTGTTTTCTTATTTTAGTGTCTTAGAGAGTAAAATTTTCCAGTATGGAAAATAAGGTGTTCTTTATAGTTCTTTGTAGGAAAAAAGATGCTTGGGAGTTTGGACATCTGAATTTCAGTCTTGATTTTACCACTACCTTAATTTTAATTAATAATTGCTGCTGTTAGGATCTTGTGCAAAAGTTTAGAGGCAGAAAAAACAATGACCATTAAATTCAAATATCTACAACATTCTAAATTTACTTTCAGTGTTTTTCATTGTAGTACATTAATACATTTTATTTAATTGTGATTTATGTTGTGTTTGACTTTTTCTGCTTTGCATGATATATCTCACTGTAGTTACATTAATGCCTTCCATTGTTCCTTGTCCTCCTGCATTCAGGGGCATAGTTTGTTTCTTATCCTCCTATTGCTGCAGGTTTTGACAGTCTCCTTTTGTTTATCTATCTCTATATCTATCAGTTTATTTTCATTTTGTGACTTATAATTACCATTGTTATAATAATTTTTCTTCTTTTGGATGGTTTCCTTGGGGACATTTTCTAAAAATAGGATTATTCACAATTCAGTAATTCAATGTCTGTATTCTTCTTCTTCATTTTTAAGAGAAGGGGTCTCACTATGTTATCCCCCAGACTGGCCTTGAACTCCTGGGCTCGAGTGATCCTCCCAACTAGTTGGAGCTATAGGCATGTGCCACCACAACCAGCCAACTTTCAGTGTTTCCTTTCTTGGACTTAGTGAATGTTACTATATAACGGCCAGATGGCTCTATTGGTAGGAAACACTAATAGAATAGTTGCTTTATTTCTCTTTGCTTTTTAGTTCTCCAAGTGCATAACAAGGCTAAACAATGTCCAAGAGACTCTTCTAGCATAGGGATGCTAATAAAAGTAAAAGAGAAAACATTCAGGCTTGCTTTGAGGACAATTTCAGATGATGTGATATCATATGATATCATCATCCAACAGCTAATGGGTGGATCTTGCTAAAGTGGCTTCTTGTGGTTTTACACCATGTAGTCAACCCTTGGGGTGTGGCTGCAGTTCACTAATGTGGGAATGAAGTGTTCATATGATAAAGTGGATGATGAATAGTTCCCTTTAGGGTGAAAGGGACCACTGGTTATTTGTTAAGTGCTTATGTATGGTTTTTGTTTTTGTTTTTGATTTTTGAGACAGTTTTGCTCTATCTAGCCAGAGTGCAGTGGCATCATCATAGCTCACAGCAACCTCACACTCCTGGGCTCAAGCAATCCTCCTGCCTCAGCCTCCCAAGTAGCTGGGACTACAGGCATATGCCACACCTTCTAATTTTTTCTGTTTTTAGTTGAGATGTGGTCTTGTTCTTGCTCAGGCTGGTCTCAAATTCCTGACCTCAAGCAATCCTCCTGCCTCAGCCTCCCAGAGTGCTAGGATTATAGGCCTGAGCCATCACACCTGGCGATGTATATTCTTTTAACAGCTCTAGGAGAGCTTGTACTTTATAGATGAGGGGATTATTGCTCACAGATGTTAATGAACTTGCTCGAGGGCTAACAGTAAATAAAAAGAGCTAGGCCGGGCACAGTGGCTCACGCCTGTAATCCTAGCACTCTGGGAGGCCGAGGTTGGCAGATTGCTCAAGGTCAGGAGTTCAAAACCAGCCTGAGCAAGAGAGAGATCCCATCTCTACTATAAATAGAAAGAAATTAATTGGCCAACTAACATATAATAGAAAAAATTAGCTGGGCATGGTGGCACATGCCTGTAGTCCCAGCTACTTGGGAGGCTGAGGCAGGAGGATTGCTTGAGCCCAGGAGTTTGAGGTTGCTGTGAGCTAGGCTGATGCCACAGCACTCACTCTAGCCTGGGCAACAAAGCAAGACTCTGTCTCAAAAAAAAAAAAAAAAAAAAAGAGCCAGAATGGCAGTAGGGGTGTAGTTAACTCTAAAGCCCATATTGTTTTCTACCACCACAGTAATTACCTACAGTTAGATAGATGGCTGGAGGTGAAGGTTTAAGTGTATTCTGTAGGTACCCCGTTTATTGTCTTTGCAGAAACTGGCTAAAGTTAGAAAATCTTAATTCACATCCAACCTTTTCTTTATTACAGACAATAACGAACCAAGCGAAGCCTCAGAGCCCAGGAAGACTTTGTCCCCAACTGCAACAGAACCAAGCCAGGTGGTAGATCCAAAACAGGGGCCCCAAGAACTTCAGGAAAAGAAAATCCAGGTGCTCGAGGAGAAGGTTCTCCGACTCACAAGGACGGTTCTTGACCTCCAGTCCTCCCTTGCTGGAGTGAATGAAAACCTCAAACATGCCACTCAGGACGATGCCAGTAAAATGCGGCCATCGTGGCTTGGCAGCCCGCACCCCCAGCCTGATGTTGCCACCGGTGGAGACAGAGAAACAGTCCAGCATCCTGGCGTCCTTCATGGTAAAGAATCTGGCATGAAGGACATCAAGTCCGAGTTGGCTGAAGTCAAAGACACTCTGAAGAACAAGAGCGACAAGCTGGAAGAGCTGGACGGGAAAGTGAAGGGCTACGAGGGGCAGCTCCGGCAGCTCCAGGAGGCTGCGCAGGGCCCCACCGTGACCATGACCCCCGGCGAGCTGTACCAGGCCTACGTGGACAGTAGGATGGACGCCCTGCGGGAGGAGCTCATGGAGGGCATGGACAGGAAGCTGGCCGACCTGAAGAACTCGTGCGAGTACAAGCTGCTCGGGCTCCAGCAGCAGTGTGACGACTACGGCAGCAGCTACCTGGGAGTCGTAGAGCTGATTGGGGAGAAGGAGACGAGTCTGAGGAAGGAGATAAACGACCTCCGAGCCCAGATCCGGGAGCCTTCAGCGCAGCCAAACTGCTGCGACAGCAAAAAGAATGGTGACTTCGGTCAACAGATCAAGACGCTAGACCAGAAAATTGAGAGAGTCGCCGAGGCCACCAGGATGCTGAATGGACGGCTGGACAACGAGTTTGACCGCCTCGCGGTTCCAGAGCCAGAGGTGGACTTTGACGCCAGATGGAACGAACTCGATGCGAGGATCAATGTGACAGAGAAGAACGCGGAAGAGCACTGCTTCTACATCGAGGAAACCCTTCGGGGGACCATCAGTGGGGAGGTGGATGACTTGAAGCACCTTGTCGATCAGAAAATACAGTCTCTGGAAGGCCGTCTGGGGAGCGTTCTCCTACAGGTGGCCAACGGCACTGACGCGGGATTCACGCCCCTGGGGCCAGCCCTGCCAGGCGCGCCGGGGGCGGCGAATGAACAGGTCGTGCTGGAATTAAACCGCCTGAAGGACAAAGTTCAAGTCGTGGAGGATATCTGCGTGCGGAACGTCCAGCCTCACGGGAGGGAAGGTGCTTCGCCAAGCGGGGAAGGCCCCACAGCGCGGGACAGCTGGCGCCTTTGGAGATCTCTCAACGACACGATGCATAGGAAGTTTCAAGAAACCGAACGGAGCATCCAGAAACTCCAACAGGACTTTAGTTTTCTTTATTCTCAGCTAAACCACACCGAAAACAATGTGACTTACCTTCGGAACGAAATGAGCAATTGCAGGGCAGGTGAAAACGCTGGGTTGGGGGGGTTCACGAAGGTGGGTGAGCAAGAAAGGACAGTGGAGACCCCCCCGGCCCCCCAGGACCCGATGGCTCATTGCTGCGGCCGGCTGGAGGAGAGGTGGCACGGCTTCCAGGGCCAGGTCCTCTCGGAGCTGGACGTGTGCAAAGAGAACATGCACGGGGCGCAGAGGGACATCTCCGTGGTGGAGGGCAGGGTGTCTCACGTGGAGCAAACCTGCGGCAAGCTGGGCGCCATCTCGGGAAGTCTCGAGAGGATCAAGGAGGGACTCGGCAGGCACGTCAGCAGCCTGTGGACCTGTGTCCGGCAGATGAACGGGACGCTCAGGGCGCACGCCAGAGACATTTCTGGCCTGAAGAATTCAGTCCAGCAGTTCTATAGCCACGTTTTCCAGATTTCTACTGACTTGCAAGATCTGGTCAAATTTCAACCATCAGCAAGTAAGTTGAAACTTACAATTCCATTTCTTTTATGTATTTGCAGCACGTGACAGTGTTATACTAGATTTTGGACAGTTTGTGGCATTAACTAAATTCCATCAGTGCTACCCAAAGCGTGGTCCATAGATGGGTGCTGGTTTGTGACTCGTTGGGTGCTGGGTAGCAGTGAGAGAAATGCTAACACCGAGAGTACGTTTCTAGGAACTTTTAAAATAATTTGACATCATCTCGGCATTCAAGCATGTGATCTGTGTATTTTAGAAAAGTATGAGTCCACAACAAATTGGAAATGAAAAAGGAAAACTGGTTCTTCGCGGCAGATGGTAGAATGTGATCGGCACGATCATGTTGGTGAGCTTGGCGCTGCGGTCAGATTGGTGGCATACCAACTTGGGGCGCCGGTGGGTGTTGCTGTCCCGTCTTCTGCCTGGGGGAGTCTCCTAATCTGGTCACCTCTCTACAAGCATCGCTGTTTGTGTCATTATAATCTTTGTCGTTACCATCTTTGGGCCACCCCCATTCCCTCAAATCCAGGGCTTAGGTGACGGTGGACAGGACTTTGTCATATTCATTGCCAGAGGCACAGGATTGTGGATGAAAGTGGGAACTGTTAAAACCTGCAGCGCCTGGATCCAGGAAGCTCATCAGCGGCGCTGAGAGCAGCGCTTGCTACATCTCAGACTCGCAGCAGATGTCTGATGAATGAGTGAATGGTCCCTTTATAGTTTTGAGTAACATATGCAATAGAGTTAAATATTTTTGTTCCTTCAGGGCTGACCACATAGTCCCTGAAGGACAGAGCTCCTCTTGCACCTGGGTTCTCTCTCTGAGATGCCTCAGTAACGAGCAGCCTTCTCGGACTGCAGACGGGTGAAAGGAGCGAAGCGGGAGCTCACGTGTGCTGAGCACTTTCCGTCCCGGCCTGGGGTAGTCCCTTCAGGGACAGCGTTTTGGCCCACCACAACCTCACAGAGAAGGCATGCTGTTCTCCAGAGGGAAAGTGTGTCCAAAGTCACACCGTGTTAAGTGGTGGAGGCAGGACTGGAACCCAGGCCGGGCTGCATCCAAGGACTGTTGTCTTCCAGAACAGCCCACGGCTCCTTCGCGTCTCCCGGAGCTGAGCGCAGACTGGCCTGGTCCACAGGCGCTTTGGAGGGCCAGCCTTGTGCCCACAAGGGCCCCGTTTCCTGACCACCCCAACCACCCCCGTCCTTGCTGCCTTTCCTCCCGTCCTCCCCGTCTGGGCTCTCAGCTCCGGGCGACACCCTGAGCTGAGACCTCACAGCCTCCGTGAGCCTGTGGGATGTTGCGATGGGTCCCAGCCGAGACGTGAAGCCCGAGGGGGAAGGTTACGGCACGGCAGGCAGATGAGTCCCAGCCTGGCCGAGGAGAGCCTGGGCCGGTCCGACCCTCTGGGGAGGGTCCCCAGAGCCCTGTGCTTATCTTGCAGATAAGGGGTCACCCGGCCGAAGGGGACCAGGGGCCAGCCTGCTGCGCCATGCTATTTATAACCCGCCCCTTCTCCCCAGGCCCACTCAGCTCCTGTATCTCTGGAATGTCGAGTAAAGGTCACAAGCCTGTGTGTGTTCATAGAGCGGTTTGTCCCCTGTGGCGACAATGCTGTCTGGGCTGTGCTTTGTAATAACAGATTAAACCAGATATTTCCAGTTGATTTGCAACTGTGTGGCAGCGTGGGAAGCCGTGTACACACTTTCCCATTTGTCTGTTGCAGTAGGGGCTGGAGGTGAATGCCTTTAAAGAGAACGTGGCTTCCTGAACATTATCCTTTTGGACTGAACGCATTGCTGCGACTGTAGACAGCATGGACTTTCGAGAATTGCACTGATTGGAAAGATCCAGAAATAAACAAGAGGTCCTCACGCGTCCTTGTATGGCATCCAGGTCTGGGAGAGGGAACCTGAATATCAGAGGTCCCTGGGGAACCTGGAGCTAAGATCACAATGACAGTCGCACGTGCATCAGTTAAGTCAGCAGAACACTTGCTGGGCACCTACTGTGGCCGGGCTGTGTGCAGGGCATGGAGAAGAGAAGGCACGATCCTAACCCTCAAGCATTTTCGGTCACAGTGGGATAGAGACACACAGGTCTGCAGAGAGAACGAATGAGATTGCGAAAGCCCAGTGAGGGGCGCAGGGGTTTGGACTTCCAGTTCATAAGATCTTATTGGGCCTCTATTATGTGGCAGGCAATGGCTGTGCGTGGGGTATGTGGGTGACATGACAGTCTGGTGGGGAAACAAGCACACACAGGTGGCCACGGGAATGGGATGCACATGGGCCACGCTGGGCATGAGGAGAAGCACCCGGGCCACTGAGGAAGTCAGGGAGGGCTTCTAAGGGGAGCGGGCCCTGCCCTGAGCCCTCAAAGTTGAGTAGGTGTTTACTGAGCAGTGTTCAGAGGCTGGCAGGATGAGGAGTGAGGGGAGATGATGGGAGAAACTTCCAGAAGGAGGTGTTACTGGATCTGATGATTTGAGGGCTGGGTAGGATTCAGAAAGCAGGATGGGAGGGTATTACTGGTAAGGGCTTGGTGTGAACGGATCAGTTGTTTACTGCCATGCAACAACTTACCACAAATCTTGGTGGCTTAAAACAACAAAGATGTATTATTTTCCATTATTCTGTGGGTCAGGAATTCAGGCAGGGCTTGGCGTAGCGGTTCTTCTGCTGTATGTGGTGTCAGCTTGACTCTCCCACTCAGTTTGAAGTTGACTAGAAGGTTCAGGAAGACTCAGTCAAATGTCTGGTGCCTCGGTGCTCCTCCGCATGGTCTCTCTCGCCACGTGGCTACTTGGCTTCCTCACAGCCTGGTGGTCTTGAGTAGTTGGACTTACGGAGACTGGCTCATGAAGGGCAGCAAAGCGGCTGGGCCCAGAGCTGGAGTGGCATCACTTCTGCCGCATTCTGCTGGTCGGAGCAGCTTGGCTCCTGAAGGGGGATGTGGTTCGTACATGCGGGCAAGGAAGGGGTATTAATGGTGGTCTTCATAACCGTGGAGTTCAGAGGTGAGGATGTGTGACAGGTTTGGACCACTGACCACATTGCTGGGTCAGGGATACACACTCGGTGCTTCTACTCGGTTCACTGCCCATTCACAGATCCTGTTCTGCTCTTCGGAAGCATTGCTGAGAGGGCTGAACTGTCCCGGAGGCAGCCGGGGGCTGGAAGAAGGGGTTTCAGCTGACGCTCAGATAGACCCAAGTCCTTCCATTAGTGCAGATATTCATCCCTGGGGTTTAAAGGGATGTTTGATTATTATTGTTTTTGGACAAAAGGTCCACGGATTTCACCTAGGACTCTGAGGGGTGTCTGACTTCCAAAAGACAAAGAACCACTGTCTCATGCTGTCACTTTCTCTCCTTCAGCTCGGTCAGGTGGGTGTGATGCCCTCTCCTAACACTCCAACCCATGCAGCCGCACATCCATTCGTTCCACAGCTATTTACCAAGCCACGTCTTGGTGCTGCGCTTGCAGCCCTCGCAGACCTTGCACTCGAGCGGGGAAGGCAGACAGTGCCCGGCCATACATTGAAGACCTGATTTCAGTTGGCTGTCAGTGCCATGAGCAAACATAAAACAGAGCAAGGCGACAGAGAATGGGGACAGGGGTCTATTTTAGGTGCTACCGTGGAGATGCCATTTGCACAGAGAGGTTTGAATAAGGCGAGGCTCTGCAGAGATCCATGTGAGAAAATGTTCCTGACAGCGGGAATGGAATGTTCAAAGGTCCTGGGGCAGGAATGAGTTTGCCCTTTTGAAAAACTCAGAATTTCAGTTTGGCCTAGTATATGAGCAAGGCAGGAGGACATCTGCAGTGAGGTCGAAGAGAGGCTAGAGCCGGATCAGGCAGGGCTTGAGAGCTATGATGAGGGATTTGAATTTTAAGTTCCATGAGAAACTATTGAAGGATTTTGGGCCCGGAAGCGATTATTTCTCAGGTTTGAAAACGCAGCTCATCTACGCTAGCTCGGTGACTTTGGGAAAGTTGTCTTTGTACCTAACGCCTCCATTTCTTCATCTATAAATTGGAAGTAATAAGAATGGGCTGGTGCAGTGGCTCATGCCTGTAATCCTAGCACTTTGGGAGGCCAAGGCAGGAGGATCACTTGAGAGCAGAAGTTGGAGACCAGCCTAAGCAAGAGCAACACCCTGTCTCTACCAAAGATAGAAAAATTAGCTGGGCGTGGTGGCGCATGCCTGTAGTCCCAGCCACTGGGAAGGCCAAGGCTGGAGGATCGCCTGAGCTCAGGAGTTTGAGGTTGCTGTGAGCTGTGATGCTGCTGAACTCTAGCCAGGGCGACAGAGCAAGACTCTGCCCCTCCCCTCAAAAAGGAATAATGACACCTACCTCAAGAAGTTGGTACGGGATTAACACTTACAAGTATAGTGCCTGGCAGTTGGTAATCACTCAATAAATATTACTTATTAGCTTTGTGCCCTGCAGTGGGTGTTTAGTCTGCTCCTGGCTGAGCTTTCCTCCCTTTCTCTTGCTCTGAACCTCCGGCCTCAGAGGAGGGACAGAGCCCAGGAATCCACCCCGCGAGAGGGGTGGGGGAGGCGGTAGATGGCCACAGGGTGTTTTCCCTCTTTTCTTTTTCTTTTGTAAATTAGCGGTCAGGCACTGAGTGTAAAAAGCCTAGAAATCTCTCCTCCCAGCAGTCACACGTTCCTGTACAAACACTTTTGCTGACCAGAGCTCATCACTACGAACAAGTCAGGCTCCAAGTGAAAAGGAGGCTCCTACGCCCTTTGCCCCCCGGGCATTGAGACCACGGACCTAGCCTGCCCTCCGGATGCACGTGGCCCCGCTTCACACTGTCACAGGCGGTGGCAGCAGCCGTCCTCCGTCTCAGCGGCACCCTCCTCCGTTCCTCTTCCCCAAGTCACCTGGCTTTCCCCGCACTCGAGAGTGTGGCTGTAGGTAGACGCTCACTGATGTCCCCACAAGCAGGGGTGTGTCCTGGCCTCCAGGGTCTGGCGT